AGAAATTACTAAATTCTCTTGGCGGAAGTGCTAGTGACGGAATGTTACAGCAATTTGTTGTTTTAAAAGAGAATGCAGTAATTAAAATTCCTGATTATCTTTCTAATGAAGAAGCCGCTACTCTACTCTACCCTGCGCTGCAATAACTGCCTGGCATAGTTTAATAGAAAAAGGAAATGTAAAAGCCGGCGACAGCGTATTGATACAGGGAACTGGCGGAGTATCCTTATTTTCAATGCAGTTTGCATTAGCTGTAGGCGCAGAAGTAATTTTATTATCTGGAAGCGATGATAAATTAGAACGTGCTAAAAAAATGGGCGTAAACCATTTGATCAATTATAAAAGTGTACCGCAATGGGAAAATGAAGTCAAAAAAATCACCAATGGACTTGGTGCAAAACACATCGTAGAAGTTGTAGGCAGTGACCATATTAACGAATCTATAGAAGCAGTTGCATTAGACGGAACCATTTCTGTAATCGGAATAATGAACGGACTAACCGGAAATATAAATACTGCAAAATTAATGAGTAAACAAGTCAGATTACAGGGAATTAACGTTGGCTCAAAAGAGATGTTTTTAAGAATGAATCAAACCCTCGAAACAAAAAACATCCATCCCATTATAGATTCGGTTTTTTTATTTCAGGATGCAATTGATGCTTTTAAAAAACTTGAAAGTAGCTCACATTTTGGAAAATTGGTAATCACATTTTAATTTTAATTATTAAGTAAAATTGCAAATACCGGATATAAAAAGATTTACAACCTGAAGAGAACAAGCGTGTGCGAAGTCGGAAAACTTCGCACAGCTTAGAATCTCCAAATAAAATATTACCTATCTTTAACAAACTAAAGTGAAGTGTTAATTTAATCTATGAAAAACCTTATGATATGAAATTTTGGAAAGGCTTTATTATATTTTGGATAATCTATCTCTTGTTGTTCGCTATTGGACTACCACTCATTCTGCATTACGCAGGAAATCATCATAAAAGCGATTATGAGATGATTAACACATCTGCCAGCGAAGCATTCGTTTTACTTAGTCTGGGCACGGTACTTTGGTTCATCGTATTTATTTATTACATCAAACACTTTTTGATCAATCTTTCGAAAAAAGATGGTAGTATTCAATCGTTTGAGGATGGCAAAAAAAGAAAAGAAACCACTTCGGAAGAGTTTGAATTTATGGACTCAAAACCGTATCAACGACACTTTGAATCGGGCAATAACACCAGAATGGACAGGCAGGTCGAAAAATCGAATGCCAAAAACATAGCCCTCACTGTGATTGGACTGCTATTATTGATTGCTTTGGCAGCAGGAATATTGTTTTATAGTTATATAAATGAAAGCCCTGGCTATGGTTGGCGGTACCTGTATTTTTGGCATCCTTACATCATGATTCCCGGCTCTTTTATTTTTTATTTAAGTTTTTTCTTTGGTATTACAAATGGTATTTTTTCAAAATTTTTCGGTAATTCACAAGTGATGAAGAAGATAACGCAAGCTTCAAATAAGGAGCGTAATAATCGAAATCAGTAGAAATTAGGATCATGCAGAGCAACAAGAAATAAGTATCTTACTTCAACAACATTCTTTCTGTAATTGTTTTATTTGAGGAAGTATCAATTCCGGTAACTTCGGCATACTTTACATTGGGCAGCCAAAAAGAACCTCCTTCAATACGTACAAATATTTTTTCTACCTGGATTTTTTTCTGATTTACACTTACAAAAACATGATATTTTTGATCCGAATCTATCTTTTTCAAGGTTAAGGGTAACTTTTTATACGATACAAATTGAAGTTCAAACTCCTCATTATTTAAGGTTTTAGATTCTATTCCGTATGCAAATTTACGTTGTATGTAACTAAAATCTTTTTTATCTCCTTTCTCAGCATATCGAATCCAATAGGCTTTTATAGGATTGCTTTTGTCTATTTTTCCATTTTCCTGGTAGTTTATGGCATAAATAGCAGTGTTTGTATTGGGGTCGCGCTGAATGTAAAATAGCATATTATCTATATTTTTCGGCGTTAGGTAAAATTTAAAGTGGTCGACGGTATTTTTAGTATTGTGCCTACTAGTATTTTCAGTAATATATATT